GAATAGGGATGTGATTCGGGAGGATAAGGAGTTTTTGGCGGCTAGAAGAAGTAAAGAAATAGAGTGGCGAGAGTGGTATTCGGATTTATGAAAATGGGTACGAAAATGGTGGAATGTGGAAAAACAGAGAAAGAGTCTTGGAAAAAAAAATGTACTTCAGATGGGAATTGCAACTTATGTTGCACGAACTAAGTTGACGATGGGGAAGTATATTTGCTGAATCCTTGTTGCTGGACCACACTATTGATGCTACTATATATGGGTAAGACTGTATCAGTTGCTCGATCAAACGTAAAAGATACCATTCTTGAAAATTTCGCTGCTTTAGATTCGTGCATATGACTGGAAAGTGGATGCTTCAGAACATGTAAATTTTCAAGAAGCTGAACAATGAAATAAGAGCTTTAGGATTTCAGAAAGGAAAATGGATCTCTAGCCTTTTAGGTTTATTTGTTCAACTATAATTTTTTCCGAAACACTTTTCTCTAGTCGAAAGATTCTATCTCCTCAAAAGCATATCCAATCGCACTAATTTTTCAGTCTGTTTCTTTCCTTCTTATTATTTTAAATTTCATAAATGAACAACGCCCTACCGAGCCATTTCATATGGACATCTTCTCACTCCATTTCCCTTTCTCTATTGGCATGATTATGTCACCACAAGATTACATTTTTTTTTTCAGGTCGAGTCAGGGCACACGGTCCTGGTTCACGCAGCAGCCGGTGGGGTGGGGTCCCTTTTGTGCCAGTGGGCTAATGCACTTGGGGCCACTGTTATTGGGATGGTCTCTACAAAGGAGAAGGCAAATCAAGCCAAAGAAGATGGGTGCCACCATGTCATATTGTATAAAGAAGAAGATTTTGTTACACGTGTCAACGAGATAACCTCTGGTAACGGCGTTGAAGTTGGATGTTGGGAAGCACACTTTCGAGGTAATGAGCTAATTTTGGTTAAATGAATATTTTTCTTCCCGATTGGTGCAAATAGGACTAAAGGGGGTCTCCGTATGTGTATTGACATGCAACCATGCGAACCAATCATTACTGTACATTTTCTTCCCGAGCTAATTGTTTGTTGTTTAATACATCAAATTGTCTTGTAGCTGGCTTAGCTATGTCAGTAATTACTTATAAGAAGCCGGTTAGTTTTCATAATTACAAAATTCCCGCATGGCATTTGATTTTCCTATTGGAAATTACCTCTTTTTGAAGGGTTGAGGAAATATTTGTTGGGAAAGTACAAGCATCGAGTGGTTTTCTGCAATCAAGGACGGATGGCGGCTCGGAGACGACAGATTTTGGTATTCTCAGTGGGGTGGTATTCTCAGTGGGGTGGAGACGGCGGATTTCGGTTTCCTCTGGTTTGGTATGCCGTTTTTTTTTTTCTCGGTGGGGTTTCTTTTGACACAGGGGTTCTGCTTCGTCTTGTTTTAACCTTATGAAGAAAGAAAATAATTTTATAAATTTTATAAAAGTATTATATAGTATAAATATAAATTTTATATATAATACATATTATTACTAGGAGATATATGCCCACTATTCACTTGTGGAGTTAATTATTTTTATACGTTCACTCCACATTGTTATTCCCATATTAGGCTTAAAAGTAAGTTTAACTGCATGTTCAGAATTCATAATACCAGCTGCATAATTATACCTTAAAGTAGGAGGTTACAACACATTTGTAAGGTAGTCATCATTGTCTATCTCAACCATCTATTTTCATAAAAAATAAAATAATTTGATCGAACAACATAAAACAGAGAGAAATAAGAAGAGAATTAGCCGATGCCATCTTGAGTAATATATACATCAACATCAACATACCCAGTATATTCCCAAACAGGTTGAGGTCTGGGGGGTCTGTTGTACGCTGACCTTACCCTTGTAAATTACAAGGAGGCTGTTTTTATAGCGACCCAAGGTGCGTTGTGTCGTTTGAAATATTTTTTCTAGAAACTTCACTAATAGAAGAAGCACTATAATTTAATTGAGCAATTTTGATCTAGTCCATTATTTGCACGATGCCAGAAGAATTGTCAACTAAAGGAGCAACTAAAGTAAAAAAGAGATACCTCAGCAGCCAGTATCAGTACTGATGGCCCATGCAGAAGCATAAGCTCACGCCTACAATCTCCGACGGTCACTATAGAATCATTGTCTGCAGTAATATCATATTTCAGCAACAACTCATGCTGATAGTGATCGACCCCTAACTCAAAAAATATAGTATAAGTAACAGTTTGAATGAAAAAATATATACTTAAAAATATGTGCACATGAATTACATGATCTGGAAATGTGTAAATCTCATGCACCTTCACCTAAAGAAACATAATTTTATTTTTAAATCAAAATCAAATAATCAATTTTCAGTTTAACCTGCTCGATCATTCTGACCAAATTGTTGAAGTGCCTAAAATGTACAGCGACTGTGACTATAAAATTATTATTATTATTATTAGAAACTCAAGTGGGCTGGAGCCCATCCAGGTGGCTCCGCCAGTGAACACTTTAACAAACAAAAGGCAAGGAAAATGAAAATAAAAAAACTGCAAATTAAATTTTTACTGATAATCTCTGAGAGAGAGAGTAGAGAGAGAAAACGAAGAGAGAGAGAGAGTGAGAGAGTACGAGGTGGGTTATTTTTGGTTTTTTGTGGCGGTTTCTCAATACATTTCCATCACCAATTCACCATGCCTGCAACAATAAAAAAATAAAAAGCACAAAAAATGGTCAAATTTTAGTGATGATAAATCAAAATAAACTAAAAAAAAAATGTTCAAAGTCTAGGTGTTTTCTACAGAAGCAAAATAAAAATCTTTATATTTTCCGGATAAATAAGGAAAAAATGGCAATGGTTTAGGGTTTTAAAGAAAACAAATAAACAAAGAAAAATTTCTGGTATGCCACACATTAAAAATCACAATAGGACTCAATCATGAACAAGGTAACAGACAAAAGACAAGGAAAACGAAAAAGAATGAAAAATTCCTACTGGTAATCTCTGAAATTTGAAGGTCCAGAAAAGATATTATTGAAAAAAAATCTCTGAAATGTTTATTGAAAAAAAATCCACAAAATCAATAAACTTGAGCAAACCACATAATTAATGGTTTGAAGGTCCAGAAAAGAACAAATTACACATGTTTTTTTATAACATAAAGCAGGAAAATTAGTAGCAGCTTTCTAGTTCAAGAGATAGAAAAACAAGCTAGTAAGATATTTGGAGCCCTAATTTCCCGAAAACACATATTGCTCATGTACATGTTCATGTGCATGTTGAAGAACATGAAACCTTTGAGCTAGGGGTCGAAAATCTACCTTTGTGAAAGCTTAATCAAAGAGCTATGCTTTAAATATCATGAACCAGACAAAATAAAAAGGAATAAAAAAAAATATTGACCAGAAAAGCTCAGAAAATGATGAGGATTTCTTTGAAGTAGATGAATGAAAGATGAAGAAAAACGATGCCGAAAAGTGAAGATGAATAAACAATTTCACCTCAGATGTTTTTTTAGAGAGAGAGAGAGAGGGGGGAGAGAGAGAGAGAAATGACAGATGAAAAAAAACGATGCCGAAAAGTGAAGATGAATAAACAATTTCACCTTGGTTTTTTAGAGAGAGAGAGAAAGAGAGAGAAAAAGAGAATCTGTACAGTGGCAGTGCCACTCATTAAAAACAAAGGCATAAAGTTCGTTTGGAAAAAATTAGGGGTGGACACTGCCACTGTACAGATTCTCTTTTTCTCTCTCTTTTTTTTCTCTCTCTCTATAAAAAACCATCTGAGGTGAAATTGTTTATTCATCTTCACTTTTCGGCATCGTTTTTTTTCATCTTTCATTTCTCTCTCTCCCATCTCTCTCTCTATAAAAAACCATCTGAGGTGAAATTGTTTATTCATCTTCACTTTTCGGCATCGTTTTTCTTCATCTTTCATTCATCTACTTCAAAGAAATCCTTTTCATTTTCTGAGCTTTTCTGTCAACATTTTTTTTTATTCCTTTTTATTTTGCCTGGTTCATGATCTTTAAAGCATAGCTCCTTTGATTAAGCTTTCACAAAGGTAGATTTTCGACCCATAGCTCAAAGGTTTCATGTTCTTCAACATGCACACGAACATGTACATGAGCAATATGTGTTTCCGGAAAATTAGGGCTCCAAATATCTTACTAGCTTGTTTTTCTATCTCTTAACTAGAAAGCTGCTACTAATTTTCCTGCTTTATGTTATCAAAAAACATGTGTAATTTGTTCTTTTCTGGAGCTTCAAACCATTGATTCTGTGGTTTTCAGAGATTTTTTTTCAATAATAATATCTTTTCTGGACCTTCAAATTTCAGAGATTATCAGTAGGAATTTTTCATTCTTTTTCGTTTTCCTTGCCTTTTGTCTGTTGTGATTTTTAATGTGTGGCATACCAGAAATTTTTCTTTGTTTATTTGTTTTCTTTAAAACCCTAAACCATTGCCATTTTTTCCTTATTTATCCGGAAAATATAAAATTTTTTATTTTGCTTCTGTAGACAACACCTAGACTTTGAACATTTTTTTTTCAGTTTATTTTGATTTATCATCACTAAAATTTGACCATTTTTTGTGCTTTTTATTTTTTTATTGTTGCAGGCATGGTGAATTGGTGATGGAAATGTACTGAGAAACCGTCACAGAAAACCAAAAACAACCCACCTCGTACTCTCTCTCTCTCTCTACTCTCTCTCTTAGAGATTATCAGTAAAAATTTAATTTGCAGTTTTTTATTTTCATTTTCCTTGCCTTTTGTTTGTTAAAGTGTTCACTGGGCGGAGTCAATTGGATGGGCTCCAGCCCACTTGAGTTTCTAATAATAATAATAATTTTATAGTCACAGTCGCTGTACATTTTAGGCACTTCAACAATTTGGTCAGAATGATCGAGCAGGTTAAACTGAAAATTGATTATTTGATTTTGATTTAAAAATAAAATTATGTTTCTTTAGGTGAAGGTGCATGAGATTTACACATTTTCAGATCATGTAATTCATGTGCACATATTTTTACGTATATATTTTTTCATTAAAACTGTTACTTATACTATATTTTTTGAGTTAGGGGTCGATCACTATCAGCATGAGCTGTTGCTGAAATATGATATTACTGCAGACAATGATTCTATAGTGACCGTCGGAGATTGTAAGCGTGAGCTTATGCTTCTGCATGGGCCATCAGTACTGGCTGCTGAGGTATCTCTTTTTTACTTTAGTTGCTCCTTTAGTTGACATTTCTTCTGGCATCGTGCAAATAATGGACTAGATCAAAATGGCTCAATTAAATTATAGTGCTTCTTCTATTAGTGAAGTTTCTAGAAAAAATATTTCAAACGACGCAACGCACCTTGGGTCGCTATGGAAACATCCTCCTTGTAATTTACAAGGGTAAGGTCTGCGTACAACTGACCCCCCAGACCTCAATCTGTTTGGGAATATACTGGGTATGTTGATGTATATATTACTCAAGATGGCATCGGCTAATTCTCTTCCTATTTCTCTCTGTTTTATGTTGTGCGATCAAATTATTTTATTTTTAATGAAGATAGATGGTTGAGATAGACAATGGTGACTACCTTACAAATGTGTTGTAACCTCCTACTTTAAGGTATAATTACGCAGCTGGTATTATTAATTCTGAACATGCAGTTAAACTTACTTTTAAGCCTAATATGGGAATAACAATGTGGAGTGAATGTATAAAAATAATTAACTCCGCAAGTGAATAATGGGCATATATCTCCTAGTAATAATATGTATTATATATAAAATTTATATTTATACTATATAATACTTTTATAAAATTTATAAAATTATTTTCTTTCTTCATAAGGTTAAAACAAGACGAAGCAGAACCCCTGTGTCAAAAGAAACCCCACCGAGAAAGAAAAACGGCATACCAAACCAAAGGAAACCGAAATCCGTCGTCTCCACCCCACTGAGAATACCAAAATCTGCCGTCTCCGAGCCGCCATCCGTCCTTGATTGCAGAAAACCCCACCTTAATGTGGGAACAATCGGGCATATTGGTCATGGGAAGACTACCCTCACTGCGGCAGTCATTAAGGTAGTGTTAATTTCTATGTTTGTCTTTTTGGTGTATTAAAATTAATTTCTATGTTTGTCTGAAGGTCTTAGCAAAAGAAGTGTTAATTTCTATGTTTGTCTTTTTGGTGTATTGAAATAATTTCTATGTTTGTCTGACGGTCTTAGCAGAAGAAGGCAAGGCTTTGAAGAAATTGATAAAGGGATTACGATTGCCACGATAATCTTTCTTTAATTCATTATCCTTTAATTCATTATTTGATTTTGTTGATTTTACAGGTAGAATATGTGATGTATGGAAAAAGCGTACGAGTGGGAAGGATAAACGAGTAAACGAGATTATCGTGAGTTTTGCGTGTTTTACGAGAGAGTATCTCGTTTACTCGTTTATCCTTCCCACTCGTACGCTTTTTCCCTACATCACATATTCTACCTGTAAAATCAACAAAATCAAATAATGAATTAAAGGATAATGAATTAAAGAAAGATTATCGTGGCAATCGTAATCCCTTTATCAATTTCTTCAAAGCCTTGCCTTCTTCTGCTAAGACCATCAGACAAATATAGAAATTATTTCAATACACCAAAAAGACAAACATAGAAATTAACACTTCTTTTGCTAAGACTTTCAGACAAACATAGTAATTAATTTTAATTTTAATACACCAAAAAGACAAACATAGAAATTAACACTACCTTAATGATTGTCGCAGTGAGGGTAGTCTTCCCATGACCAATATGCCCGATTGTTCCCACATTAAGGTGGGGTTTTCTGCAATCAAGGACGGATGGCGGCTCGGAGATGGCAGATTTTGGTATTCTCAGTGGGGTGGAGACGGCGGATTTCGGTTTCCTCTGGTTTGGTATGCTTTTTATTTCTCGGTGGGGTTTCTTTTGACACAGGGGTTCTGCTTCGTCTTGTTTTAACCTTATGAAGAAAAAAAATAATTTTATAAATTTTATAAAAGTATTATATAGTATAAATATAAATTTTATATATAATACATATTATTACTAGGAGATATATGCCCACTATTCACTTGCAAAGTTAATTATTTTTATACGTTCACTCCACATTGTTATTCCCATATTAGGCTTAAAAGTAAGTTTAACTGCATGTTCAGAATTCATAATACCAGCTGCGTAATTATACTTTAAAGTAGGAGGTTACAACACATTTGTAAGGTAGTCACCATTGTCTATCTCAACCATCTATTTTCATTAAAAATAAAATAATTTGATCGCACAACATAAAACAGAGAGAAATAGGAAGAGAATTAGTCGATGCCATCTTGAGTAATATATACATCAACATACCCAGTATATTCCCAAACAGGTTGAGGTCTGGGGGGTCAGTTGTACGCAGACCTTACCTTTGTAAATTAAAGGAGGCTGTTTCCCTTCTCTAAGCTACTAATTTTTAAATAATATTAATTGCTATAATAATAATAATAATAATAATAATAATAAATATTATTTATTATTTTGCACCATTCTCCTCCGGTTGAGCAAGATTCGCCCTCGAATCCGACACGTTCCCGTTGGAGACGTCCCCATGATAGGAATAGTCCGACGTTTCCCTCGATCGAACACGAATGACGAAGGTTGCCCAACAACCCTGATGAGAAACATAAGCTTGAGCAAGTGTTGTGTTGCTGCAAAGGTACATGTACATGCTTCCCTACGCTTAACCCACACAGCGGGAGATTTCGCGATAGACAATTGGAAAATGACCCACCAGTTATTGAGCCTCGACTTCGGCTCCATAAAAACATTGTTGGCCAAAATATTCCAAACATCGGGTTTGAAGGACGGCATCCTGGTCAAAGGCTCAACTTCTACGACGTCCCACGCAGGACCCATATTGCTGCAAAAATGTCTCCGTCACCGGAGGCTCCTCATCGAAAAGAGGCGGACCGTCGTACAATAGTCCGTCATTCTCCTCAAAAACCACCCCTTGTTGGCCATTGTGCGCAGCAACGAGCTCAGTCTCGACGGGCGGAGGCGGCCACTCTCCGAAGGGATCCACTTCCAAGATGGTCTCCTCGCCGTCTGCATCGCCGGACGGTGGTTGTGGAGATCGTCGACGGGGCGCCCCGCCTGGACCACGACCTCCACTTCCTCCGT